ATATATATATATCCTCCTGTAATACTCTACTCCAGGCTCCCTGCTCCCTTACCAAGCCCACCTAACAATTTCAAGTCTTTATGTCCAGGGACTTTGGCTTTGGTTAACATAACTAAACCCCCAGTTTGGTCCTCAGTTCTTCCCATGGATCTGCCAAGCTCTCTCGAATTACCCACTGGAGATTCTCCAAAATGTAGGGATAAAGACGAAGCCCTTCCAAAATACTCAGTAGCTCTGCTGGTAGACATGTGGTCCCTTAGCTGGACACTCATTCAGCCAGATCATGTTTGCGACTTATTATAACAGTTTGGAACAAGTACAGCCCAAGAGGTATTTCTGTGCTGTCTATTCTCCTGACATTCCACCCTGACAGCAAAGTAGTCCTCTGCTCCTACACTTGCTGGTGAAGTTCTGCTCCAGGGAGATTAAGATTTAAGAATCATGGGGCTGGAGAGATTGGCTTAGTGGTTAAGAACACTGGCTGTTCTTGCAGAAGACCTGGGTTTGAATTCCAGCACCCACCTGGCAGCTAACAACACCCTCTTCTGTCCTCTGTGGGTACTGCACGACACAGGTCCACTTATACACATGGAAGCATAACACTTAAACACATAAAATAAAAATAAATTTAAAAAAAAGTTTGAAAGAATTAAGAATCATGGCTGGGACATAGTTCAGTGACAAAACCCTTGTCAGGCGTGCTTGGGACCCTAGGTTTGATCCCCAGCAATGAAAAGGTATTAAGAAAGTAGAACACCCTATGGTGTGACCTTCATGCCTTAGCTTTGAGAATGAACATAAAGACTCTCCATACTTGAGAGATAAGTCAAGAATCTGAGAACTTGCCCTGACTGATTACAAGTTTATGAAAACTGGGTAAGGTCCTTGGTTAAAAACTAGATAATACAGGGCAGGGGGTGTTCATGTAAAATTAGTATATTTGTTAAATTGTTGATTAATTTCTTCTAAAGCAAAAAGACATGGGGGCTGGAGAGATGGCTCAGCAGTTAAGAACACTGGTTGTTCTTTCAGAAGACCCAGGTTCAAATCCCAGCACCCACATGGCAGCTAACAACTGTCTGTAACTCCAATTCCAGGGGATCTGACAGCCTCTTCTGTCCTCCGCAGGCATTGCACGACATGGGTGCACTTATCTAAATAATAGCC